ATCAGTTGAGCCTATGAGATTCGCTCCACTGCGCAGCACTCGACATGCATGTGGGCTGCGAACAAGACCAGACACGTTTGGGCTGTCAAATATCTCGATCCAATATTCCCATAACGAGTCCAGATACACGTGGTGTGTTGTGTGGTGGAGTGAGGCCGTAATTCCGTGCGCCAGATTGCCAAGCACTACTTGTCTTGTTGATTGTCAGGTCAGCATCGTTGTCATCCTTCCACAAGGTAGTTTTTTTTTTTTTTTTTTTTTTTTTTCCCCCAAGTACCTAARACCTTCACATTTYTTTTTTYTTYTTTTTTTTTGGTCGAAAAAAACACCTTAAAAAATTYTAACCTTCCAACTTYTTTTTTTTTTTTTTTTTTTATACAAACCTTCCAACTTCTACAATCGGTGAGGCGGTGAGGATGTTAAATTKTTAATCAATGACTCGACAGAAAGATAGTTTGGAAAAAAAAAAAAAAAAAAAAGATAGTTTGGGCTGCGGACCTCCACAATGTCTGTCACCCGGGGCAAGGTCCCAACACTTGCACGGATGAAGAGATTCTGGCCGTTGATCTTTGCGATCCTTGCTATCTACGGTCAATATCGCTTAATTGGTGTAAGTGGGGCCTACAGCAGCCCCGTTCGTCCATTCGCTGCAAGCGTCATGACACTTTCAAGCGCGCGCGCGCGCGCGCACACACAAAGACACACCTACAGGGAACAGTCTGGCACAAAAAAAGCAAAACAAAAGAAAAAAAGTATGGCACAATGATGCTATCTTGAGGAGTTGTCTCGTCAACCGAACATGGGAACACACACACACACACACACACACACACACACACACATGCACGCCCACAAATGTAACAAAAAACTGTGTTTCGGTGTGTGTGTGTGTGTGTGTGTGTGTGGAACTGAAATTGAGTCGACACAAGTTCGCTACGATGAGCAGTAGGGCCGATTTCCAACCGCGAGTCATCCTCTCTCTCTCTCTCTCTCTCTCTCTCTCTCTCTCTCTCTCTCTCTCTCTCTCTCTCTCACGCGCGCGCGCGCGGGGGCACACACACTCTCGCTCACTCGCCCGTACAGAAAATATTTGCGCGCACACACACACACGAACAAAATAAAGAAAGCAAACACACGCACACAGTACACAGAAAAAAAAAAAAAAACAAGGAAAAAAATAAAATTAGAGAGAGAAAACTGGACGTCGCGGTGGTGTCTCCAGCTGTGCGGACGTTTTCTTTTATTTGTGTGTGTGTTTGGGATACCGTGTTCGCGTGCGCGTGACGCCAAGAGAGAGGGGCTGTGACAGCCTCTTTCGTCGGACTTTCAGGGACTCGTCAGGGGTTTGCCCAGATGCATGTCACCGATGGAGAAGGACACAGCGCCTTCCACTTCACTCACGCCAAGCCTACAATCCTAGCAGCCTATCTAATCTAATCTAATCTAATCAAATCTAATCAAATCTAATCAAATCTAATCTAATCTAATCTAATCTAATCTAATCTAATCAAATCATATCGCGGCCGCACACCCGTTACGTCAGGGATAAGCACTACGGGCGTGGGCACGGTGCTTGTGAACGTGCTCCACATCTGGTCACAAACGAGAAGAATGCGAGCGCATCTTCACACAGAAGATGACATTATACATCCACTACTATTCATAGTAACGTTTCCTATATATATACATATATTGTCACAAGAATATCAGAGCGCAAATGCGAAAAACAAGAAAGAATATAGTAACGGATGCATCTTGCCACCACCTTCTCTGGGAAGACGCACTCGCATTGTTTTCGTCTCTTGAGCAGTATGGCGACGCCTTGTATGTTTTTCTGTGTCTCTGTACTGCGTGTGTCACGAAGAGTGTGTGTGTGTATGTGTGTGTGTGTGTGTGTGTGTGTGTGTGTGTGTGTGTGTGTGTGAGAGAGAGAGAGAGAGAGAGAGAGAGAGAGAGAGAGAGAGCGTCTGGTCAGCAATGTGGCGAGGCCTTGTGTGTGTTTCTCTGTCTGTGTGCGTGTGTCACGGTGTGTGTGTGTGTGT